CCCTTCATGAACTACCTACCCGACTCCAGATTCGACCTCATTATCAGTTTTCACAAGCATGGTGCTGAGTATCAGACCTGCGACGGTATTCGATCCCCATCCTAGGCTCTCCAAATATCATGTTTATCCACTGAACTAGCCATCCACCAGATGAAGATCTACTCAAAGTTTTCAATGGCATAACTTTTCGATAAATATAGGAGCCATCAAGTCTTCGAGGACAAGCGGATCTCAGCAGTGTGAGGGATGAAGAGCGCGGTGCTCGGAAAGCGGTGGGTTCAAATCTGGTGCGAGGTTGAAGGCCCACAAATTGCCATCCTAGTGAGACTTACATTTGAACACGGTAAATGGATCCCAGTTAACAAAAGCCTTCCTGTAATGTCAAAAGAAAAGGTTATGTAGAAAAAAAGTTATGCAATGTTGATTGATGGTAATTCGTCGAGCGAGCATTCAAAAGAAACGCCCCCAACACAAAAGCCCCGCCCTTTCCAAGGGTTGAAAAAACACAGTAGTAAAGAAAGTTATGGAAAATTTGAAAAATAGAAGGGAACAATTCTGCTAGCAACTTCCCTGTACACTTCTCTAGAGAAATGAGCTCAAGTAAACCTCAAATAATAGCTAGTTAAGTCGAGATGAGGAAGGAAAGTACGAAGTAGAGTTCGGTCATTTTAGGCGAGAACTAGTTGGCCAACATTGAACGAATACGAACCGACTGACATCGAAACGGAAGTTTTTGAGTGATTTTGCCAGTATCGGGAAACACTCCCATCGGTCATCGATGATTCATTTTCGACAAATTTATCGACTATTCTACCGGGTCTTCAATTGAGAGATACAGTTTTCAAGATCTGGTTTTTAAAAAAAATACCAAATTTTGTTGGGAAGTAAACAGAATAAATGTCATTTATAATATGGCAACGTTCCAGTAATAGCTTGAGCCAACTTCTCGAGAAAAATCGGAGTTATCGCTATGAGATAATTGAGATAGATGAGATTTTGATGGTGATAGGCTAATTCAAAACAACATACCTATTTTTCAATACTATTTAAATCCATTAGAAGGCATGCTACACAATTTAAAGAAAAAAACGAAAGGCACTGTAAACTTTTAAAAAATAGAGGAAGGAGGGAACTTTCGCTGAAAAAAGGATTCCTCGTGTCCCTCTAGGGGAAGACGATCCAATGGACCATTCCAACTCGCAACAGGGACGAATGGAGATGCTGGCGCCCGCCGCTGGCGAAAAAATCGATGAATAGCGGGACGACTGGTGATACAAGTAGGAGAAAAGGAAGAAAATCTTCAGAAATGATCATAAAAGCAAGCGAGAACAAGCAGAGAACAAGCAAGGGGTCTGGACAAAAAATGGAGCCATTAACCGTACCGTTCATGATAGTATAAAAAGTATGACTGTGAAAAGATTAATGTTATGATGCGACTGCTTCGATAAACGTCGAAAGTCCCGATAGAAACTTTTTGTTACGAGATGAAAATGACATTTTTAGTTTCGACTTCGGTGAAGAAATCAGAAATTTCGAGGAGGAATGACCAACTAGTGTTGCTACCTGATTTTTAGCTTCTTCCGCTTCAGTTTCGCTGGTCGTTTCAGCCTCGGCAGCCAACTCTTCAAGTGTAGTCACTTTAAGTGAAGTCTGGAAAAAATGCAATTACATTTCTATTCAATTAATTTTATTGAACTGAGTAGGAAGAACAGGAAAAGCCGTTCTATTAAAAAATATTTTGTGTATTCGAGTGATTGATGAAAAAAGTTTTGAGGTTGATCAATTCCTTTTTGGGATGCGCCACGCATTCCACTTCCATTCAAAATCGCAGCGGTGTATTGAATGCATATGTGGCCTATGCAATGAATTGCAATGGCAAGTCCATGTACAAATCAATGCTTTTATTCTCCCTAAGGTGAGTCTGACACCAATTTACCGACCCTGGAAGGATGGAAGGCTTGTTTGGCCTAGGCGGATATCGACCCGCGATTGGCTTCTCGAACCATTCGGGTATGATTGTGGCACTACCATATTCACTCCATTTATAAAGTAATTAATTTAGTCAATTATCAGCTCAGTAAGACGACTTGGTCTCCGTAACACAGAATAATATTGGAATCAGCCATGGACCCCAGCTACTTATCAAAGGAGTTCATTCATTTATAAAAGTTGATGGATCTCAAGGATAAAACCCTCCTAGAAAAGAAAATAGATCTATTCGAAAGCATAATTTGTAACTATTGACTGATTGAAATTAATTTAAATGCGCAAAAAATATACTGTACCTCATTGGGTTTTACGACTCGGTCAGCTTTCGTACCGTGTTCAATACCGGACGAGCTAGCCAACGGCTCAACTTTCCTAAGTTGACGCACATCCGCTTTACCACTTTGGACGAGCTGAAAATGATCGACTGAATTTTTGAAGAGCGCAAAAAATGAGAAAACAAGATCTTTATTTACTTATTCATCTATTTATTTATTTATTTGCTTATCTATAAGTTATTTATTATTCGGAAACCAAGATTGGGAACGAGTCAAGAGACCATGGATGGCAACTGGCGCTGACAATGGCATCTCTACTTAAAATTGTGGAAAATAGGAAAAAGAGAGGGGGCAAAACTGGATGTTTATCACCACGAGGAAGTCTGAAGGAAATTTCAAAAATTCTTACCGTTCTACTGTGCTCCTCAATTCGTGCCACTAAGTTGTCCCATCGTTGTGTTACGGTATCCAAACGTCGGCGTACGTCGTTTGCAGCGCTACCGTTACTTTTCTCAAGACGGGCTACCAGCTCACAACTCAACTGTGACAACCGTACGAATGAACCATGTTCAGCTTCCAGGGCCGCTTCGGCACGTTGCAGCTTGCGTACCTGAAAAGACGCCAAAATAGTCATGAACTATATAAGAAAATGTTCAAAGCGATCAATGAGAGGTACTGGAGGGCACAGAAGACGATGAGAGAGCCCTTAATTGCAGCTCGGGAATGCGCCACACTTTCAGCTGCGATCTAGGTTTGTAGAGAATTAGGAATGTATGCGGCCGGGGTCAGGAGTAGCCACTATTTGGCTGAGTGCTTTTATCCTCCAGTGCGAATTCACCGGTATCGAGATTTTGAAGGAATCTGAAGGAATCTGAAGGGCTCCGCTGAACCAAGGATAAGTCTGGCATTTTCCCTCAGGAAATGGTCGCATTTCTACAATCCACCCCACTTCCTTTCAGAATACAACCATTTAGTCCTTTTTTCTTTCTAGTTCTTTTCATACTAATAATTACCCTAACAAGGAAGGTCTTTCAGGGCGTGGGACGCTCTTTGAAAATGGTTTTTTGCATGATAAAGGGGCATGAGCACAGAGTATAAAACTATGGTCCATTTCCGCTAAATGGCTTTCTGAATGCCAAAAAAGAAGTGAAAATGTTTCTGCCAG